GAGATTCCAAAGGTACAGGTGGGCATTTGAAAGGTAACACACAGAGAAAAAAGGGAAAGCAGAGTGGCTAATTACAGCATGGCTGTAGCCACCTCTGCAGTTGCTAGGCAAATCTGGAGAGTAGAGAATTCAGGTTGGAGCAGCAGCTGTGGCTGCTCTTGCTGTGAAACTCAGTGGCAGATATATGGAAGCTGGGTTCAAATACACAAACAAACCACAATGAAGCATGAAAACCATGCAACAAACCATTGTTTTTGTAGTAGCTGTAGATGATCAAACTTATATGGACAATGAAGGTATTAATATTAGAATTGAACAACCATGCTAATTCTTTAGCTTTGAAATTTGAAGGAAAATGTCATCTTTATGATATGCAGGGGAGAAAGCGTCAATGTAGAGATATATTTTTTCTAGCTTCTGACAGTGGTATATGTGGGAGAGAGAAATCCTATTAAAACATCTTTCAAAATATTCACATGGTATTTGTTGCATGTAAACACAGTACATTGCCTGGTCTCTTTAATGGTTAAACATATTTCTTTTTTTACTGTGTTGCTTTTTGCTACATGCTGTGTTTTGTTGGGTTGTATAACCATTCTGCCAGTTCTTTAAAGCTAGTTTTGGATATATTCATTCTTGCCTTATTTGGCTTTTTTGATGCTGAGTATTACATATAACCCTTCTGCTGTCGCTATGCAACTGTTAAATCTAATATTTAATATTAATAAAAACCAGGTGACATTATCTTTGGTGGGGAACAGTGAACCAAGCAAAGGAGGGTTGTGTACAGTCCAGGCTGTGTAACACACTTGACAGAATGCTCTATTGCAAGCCTAGCAAACTCTGCAGGGCATAAATCATACGAATTTTTTTAGCAGCCAACCTTGCACAGAACTAAAATGTTCAAAATACAAATGCTAATATTCTACAGGCTAACTACACATGCATGTAAATGTGTGATGTTGAGCATAGTCTCAGCCATTTAAAAAGTGTCTGGGGGGAGTTGAATGGAGAACTGATTGGGAGTGCTTAGTACTTTCCCAGCTTACTCTGTCTCCATTCTAAATTGCTACTTTCAAAGTAGCTTTTATTTATACCATAATAAAAGCATTTAAAATAAAAAGAATAGAAGCTAAAATAAATTGTACAGATGAATTTCATTAATTTTTCCAGTCCTGGTTGTGACATTTATAAGGATTTACAAGGTTCCTTCAAGCTAAATAAAGCATCTTAAAATTATGATACCGATATACATTCCAAAATGCTTGGGTTTATCATGTTGTTTCTGGATGTTCTCATGGAGTTGTATCCAACCCTGATCATCTGCCCATGAAACAGAAAGTACTAATGGAATAGATTCTCTTTCCCCTGCTGCCCCCGATTACCAGGTCTGCTCCAGAGGGTTGTGAGAGGGACCCTCTGGGGCATATTTGGATGGTGTGCAGGGGGTGAGCAAAGGGAAGACCTGTTGTGAGAGACTAGATTGAATTAACCCAACCAGTAATGGGGAGCACAAAATATCCTTGCACAGAAAAATTCCATTGCTTAATTTTTCTGTGGAAAATAATCTATTTCAGTAATTTATTAGTAATGATTAACAGGTGTCAATTGTACATACAAAATTAGGCAAACCTGAACATTTCAAATGTGTAGACCTCTGTGTTAGCATATCATGCAGTTTTCTCCGTTGCTAAAACATTGCATTTTTAGTACCTTTTAAAAATAATTAAACAGTGTAAGGGAAGTATGGGCTATAATACAGAATCAAGTTCACTGTGGGTTGTCTGCCCTCTCTTTCTTCTTTCACCCTCAGTCGTCTTATGGGTGTCCCAAGGAACACCAAGCATTTGTAAATATCTGTCAAAATGCAGATTGCCAAAGCTTGCTTGTCTTCAGAAAAAAGAAGTTAAAGGGACAAAGCCATGGTGAGCCAAAATGCCTCAAGTTCACAGCAGGGGATATTTAGCCAGAGCTATTCCCCCCTGCCCCAAAATGCCACTTAGGCACTTGTGGGGTAGGTGATACTAGTGGGTATCCAGGTAACCTAGCAAGAGTGGCAAAGGCTTTGTTTCATTGTTTCTGTGCTGCCCATTAACTGATATGGTTCGTTATCACTCTTGCCCAGGGAATTTCTGGCCTGTTCTCCAATAGTCTCTCTTGCTTAGGATGATACAACAAGCTGTTGTTTGTACATCAATCTGTAGAACAAGCCATAGGTTGTCAGGGTGACTTATTTTCAAATGATCACCCTGTGTGGTCTGCATCTGCATGATACTAAGGTTTGGAATGTAGACAGCAGTTGGTCTGTGGCTGGAGCACCAGGACCAAGGTTGATGGAGAATGAAGGAGATTCTTGCCATGTTGAAGTAGCACCAGAAGCAAAGACAGAGTTAGAAACAAGCGAAGGCAACCTATCCAGCAAGCTATGGCAGGTCCAAAGGTGAAAGCTGAACCAAAAACAAACAAGGACAGATACTGACAAGGCATTGTAGGTACAGAAGCAGAGCTACAGTGAGGAAGGAGCAAAAGCCAGATACTGACAAGGCATGACAGACCCAGAGGCAAAAGCAAGGTCAGGAGTAGGCAAGGACTAGGTACCAACAAGACATGGGAAAACCAGAAGCAAGAGCAGTCAGGAATCAAGGCAAGACAGGAGGCAGGATCAGGAACATGAAACAGCCTCTGAAAATGTAAAGGGCCATGATGCTTTGACTAAACTGAACAATACAGGAAAGCTTCACTGCATGATCACACAGGCTCCAATCATTGCAAGTTACCTGTAGGTCTGCTTGTGGTCCTGCAGACATTTGCAGGGTGAACTGTGCTTCTTGCTGCCATAGAGAGATTTGTTAATTCCTGTTCTGACAATGATGTGACAACCTATAGTGACTAACAATCCTCAATGGGCTGTCATGTGAACCCAGTCTTTGTCTCAATGTATTTATTTTGCATGCTTTCTTATTTGTGTATAGAGGAAGTTTTTAAAAATATTAAAGTATTCTTCCTATGAGCAGTGTCCCATAGAGTTCATGTAAGGGGGTATAGGATCACAGCTATAGTATGAGAATACAGAAAGATGCACACTGGACAATTGGCTTCTTTTTCTTTCCAATTTTATTACTTTGTTCCACTTTGTTTCTTTTGGCTCAGCTTTTCCTCATTTAAAAAGGTAGCAAGCCATGATGAGATGTCCAAGACTGCAAAGTTTGATAATTTCTGGGTTGAAATAATCCAGTTTATTTTTTTTTTTAAATGTGTTCGCTCGGTCGTTGTCTTCTTCTATTGTATTTTTAAAATCTATGCTGTTACTGTCTTTCTGTCTTAACTTACTCTTCTGCTTACTTTGGCCCAGTTCTACCACCTCATAAACACAAGGCAAGAATCTTATCTAGCCTGGGTCTTTGCACAAGTGCCCTTATTCAGAGCAGCTGAAAGCCCAAAATGTTCATGAAGCAGTTGCTGTTAGCTGAACAAAGCCATTTTGATGAAATGAAAAACTGACATTAATGCCTGTGTTTAATTGGTATGTAACTTCATTTTTGTGAGACTCGAAGTGTAGCTTTAGTATATTTATGAGATTAATTGTAACTATGATATCTCTTAAGTTAGAGAAACATTTCATATTAGGTTTTATTATATTTATCAATTTTTATCAGTGTTAGGTTTACAAAATGCAAGTAGTAAATAAACATGCTAAATTAGATCACTCTAGAGTATCCAAAAATTCTTTTAGAAACTGAAAATTATCATATGCAAATTAGCTTAATTTGTATGAAAAAATGTACAATTTTCTGAGAAATCCACATTTTTATGCCTTGGTTTTCTGCTATATGTTTTTCTATGTTTTTGTCTCCTTTCTTCTCTGTTGATTGAGCAGCTTTGTTAGTAATCATCGTGGATCCTAGTGTGATTCTGTTTCCAGATTGCTAGTTTTGTTCCATGGTAGTACCATTAATGGCTACATAAAGTCAAATGAGAGAAGTGCTTTCAGGGACCTGCATGTCATGGTTAATGATCATAATGCTTCGTGTTTTCTGGATGGTTCTTGGTCGTATTTAATAAATACAAGTAGTGCTTTTTGAATTTGTCTTTGGCATGTCAGGTTTGCCTACTTGCAGAATTATACAGCTCTGAAGCTACATTTTGTATATGCTTCCTTTATCATATGACTCTAGAAATTACTATTCCTTTTCATTTTTCGTTCTGAAAAGTGTGTTTATTTTTCTTGCTGTATTTCAAACATTCCACAAAAATATAGACATGCTTTTGTAACACCGTTAACAGTAAATGGATAATGTACTGCAAAATCCCAAATGTCACTTTTGCATAGTAAACTCAGTATAATTCATAATTGTCTGCTAAAATGGTTCAAGTATTTTCTAATATTTGTTCATTTTTTCCTTATATTATCAGTTGGTAACTACTTCTGCAATATTTTTAGCTCAAGTCCATCTTTAATATTGATTTTACCTTTGTCAAATAATATTTTTAAATAGAAATTTCTAGAATCTGTATAAAGACATAGCAGGTCTTCCCAATAGTAATCAAGCTTATACACAATGCACATATTGCACACTTTGCTACTTACTTAGCCCTTAGTTCTTTTCCTTTTTCTAAGAAATTCTAAGTGGACTTGAAAGTGGACTTTGTTAGAAAAGAAAAAATACAGTATGATGCAATCACCTGTTTCCCTCTTTATTTTTTGAATTCATAAGCTAAAGTTGAACAGAGCTGGTGGGGTGAAACTATTTTAAATCAATCATGTTAAACTAAAAACTTTCAAACCCCTTTAGCTTAATTATCACTATTTTGTTTAGTACTTTAAAATATTACATTTAAAGACACCTTTTCTAATTTAGTGGTTTCAGTTGACCAGGCTATCTTGAGCACATTGAGAAAACATGCTCAGATTTGTTCTAGAAATGGATGTATAAATATGTTAATATTTTGGCATCAGCAGCAATATTAAAAAAACTAACCATATTTTTCTTTGTTTTTAGGATTTGAAAGTATTCTAGAAGGGCTGTTTGGACCTGAATTATTAAAAGATCTGAGTTTGTTTAAAGGTATTACTTTTTTGTCATTATCTGCATTTCTAATGACAGAATCAACCTCTGCTCTTCTTCTAGAAAATATATGTTACCTTGGTGATTTGTGCATTTCCCCCTCCCCCCAAGCAATGTTCACAGTTAGTTTCATGTTGGCTAAAATTACTAATGAGCATAGCCGGCAGTGGTTTTGGTGTTGCTTAGGAAAATCAGCTTTGTGTGTAGGCGAAGATTATACTTTTATAATATCGTGGAAATTAAAAGCATGGGTAACTTGCATTTCCCAAATTGTAGCAAGAGTCTTATAAAGCAGAAACAAATTAGGAATGAGCTTCAGCCATAAGCAAGCTGTGGTCTTTATAGGTATGAAGTAACATGTTCCATGTTCTTCTTATTTACAGACTTTGAGCCTGAAGGTGTCTCTGATTGGTCTTTTGATGAAAATTGTCTTTTCTGCTGTCTGAGAAGAGAGAAAGTAAAGGTAACAAAGGATTTTTTTTATTTTTGTGAAGTGGTGGTAGTGTCAAGAAGAGCTGCTAAAGGGGTGCAGAACCCCAAGCCCAGGGACCATATCTGTTTCACCTGGAGACCTGTTTCAGCTGTTTCCAAGATGGCTATGCCCCTTTTTTCTGGACCATAGATCACTTGGTTGTCTCTTTGCTTTTTTGCCATATTTTCCCTAGGCTCTAAGATTGAAGCATTTCCAAAGGCTTGGTCACTGGCAATAAAAGCTTTAAGCTAAAATAAGGTGCTGTTTTGGTATTTTTACCCTATCATTTTTGCCTTCCGCCAAAATGGAATTTGAATCTTGGGCTGAAAGAAGTTCAGCTTCCCTGAACCACTGTTACTTATTCACTTCCCTCAAGGAGGTTGATAAAGTAGATGTGTTAATTAGGCAGTAGAGGATTTCTCATTTGTTTTCATTTTTAAAGGTAAATTAGTAAGGTCTAGTTAGATTCTTTGTTGCATATTGCATAGGAAGACAGATGGCACTAAATGCTTTCAGTGGCTGTCAGCTGTGAGGTTCATTCCATAGGAACTGCAGAAACTCAGAATCCAGATCTTATCTGCAGTTGCCATATAGCATTCTTTTTCCTTTGTTGGAACTCTGTGGAGACTCTTTCTGCACTTGAGTGATACCTTTTACAATGTTTGCTTTGAGGTTGTTTCATGGGTATAAGGGAAAGGTGTATCCATTGATATTTTGCCTTTGGCTTTTGCAATGGTATATAGCAACTGATACCAATGGCAGTTAGCAGTTCTTCTAGCAGCTGCTGTTGTACTGCATGAACACACCCAGCCACAATTTCTAAGCAGCACTGGCTGATTAATATCAAACATTAGTTCTGCACTTTTCTTGATTGAGTGGACTGTATTCTGCAATCCCAAGTTTTTTTAAACTTGCCTTTAGATAATCCTCAAACCTCATTAAACTCATGAAGAAGTGGTTTTCTGTGTCCAACATCTACTAGAGTGGCAGGTGCAGTACTGTTCTGTGGTACTGGGGCTGTACAGTAAACACTACCACTGTTTTTTAAAAAGATATTATTAGAAAGAGAAGAAAAAAGTGGACTGTGATTTGTAAAGATCAGAATGTTTTTCGGCGCCAGGTTAAGACCTTTTTATTTAATCAATATTTTAATAAGTTTTAATATTGAATTTTATTAATTGCAGCCAGAGTGGGTCATCAGTTTATTTATGCTGTTAACTGTCTAGAGACGTTAGTAATTGGACGGCATACAAATTTAATAAATAAATACTTTGTGGATAACAAAAAAGGGGGATAGTAATCCTAATTTTAAGTGTAAGGATAACACTATGTGCTGGCACTTCTTATTGCCACATACAGCTTTATTTATTATTATATTTATATCCCACCTTTTTTCCTTTCAAGGAACTCAAGGTGGCCTATGCAATTCTCCTCTTTCTCTTAATTTTATCCTTGCAACAACAACCCTGGGTTGAGAGTTTGTGACTGGCCTAAAGTCACCCAGTGAGCACTAGAGCCCAGATCTCTCAAGTCCTAATCCTGCACTTTTAACCAATACACCACACTCGCCCTCAAGTTATTTACCAAAATGCAACTTACTTACCCATTTTCTTTTATTTATTCTGAATCCATACATTCCTATATCACTTCAGATTTGTTTTCCTACTCCTGTGTATGCAAGCTTATGTACTGCATCTAGCCTTGATAAAATGAGATACGTGTTCAATCTGTTTTCAGGAAGATTTGTTCCCTTACTTGGTCATCCTGGAGGTATTGAGGATTTTGTCTCTTAGTTCAGTTTTTTGTTAATGTGCAAATGAATGCTTAATGGAGTAGAATTTATGCTGAGTTGATGATATTTAAACTATTAGTGTCTCTATAAAATTGCCAACTCAAGTTATAATTACAAAAAATTATATACTCTATTGAGTTTGTTAAGGATATTTCCTCCATAGTAATGAAGGAATGATGTGATGTCTCTTTGGGACCAGAGCACTAATGAGCAAAACTTTTGAAAAATATATTGAGGAAAACTTGGAGGCATGAAATATTCTAATAGGAAAGCAGATGTTTTTGTTGGAATTGTATATGAAAAAGTGTTTTTAAATCATATTAAAGCTAAATATCTATGAAAATATTTGATACGAACTCAAATATTTGATAATTAGGTTTGTATTCTGAAAGGAAGGCAGAAGTATTTATTTAAAACGTAAGTGGCCAGTTTAACTGTAAAATAGAATATTGCAACACTTCTGTTTTATTAAAAAAGTTTCCAACCTGCTTTTAATGTCAGGGTGCCATGCTCACAACTCTTTTTATATCAGATCAAAATATAAACTTTCTGAAAAGTTTTCCTTAGTTGTACCACTTATTATCTGTATTGATTCTGAAACTATGTGTTATACTGGAAAACTTTGTGATGGGATCCATATACCTGTGGTCTGTACTCTGTGCACCTTTGTATGGTTATGCCCAGGTCCACTGCGGGATGACACATGTGTGGAAACAGATGTCTGGACACACATCACTCTCATGGCATGGCTAAGAAGCTGGGCAAGGATCCAGCCTCTAAGGAAGTGTATGGAGTGCTCACTCTGATCCACAGATGTCCAAGGTTAGCAGAAGTTGCCATTGTTACGTATATGGATCCTCCTTTGCACTCCTCCCTCCCATCAAACAGGTGACATCAGTGATAACCTACTTGGCAGAGATGCTCTCATAGACCATTGATTGGATGTTTGACTCTTAAATTCTGTCTACCAAAAGCATGTTAACTGATTCCTGTTACAGCCTAGTTGGGTGGGATGAGAATTTCTAAATAGCAAGTCATATGGAATCATATATCAAAATCAATACAGCCTCCCTGATCCTCTGGCCCAATGATTAGAGGGCTACATGTTGAACAGGGAGATAAAAGCTGTTCTAAGGAGAGGCATTTGAGGCCTCTCTGGTGCTAATTAGTTTAAAAACACTGTTTTTAGGATTCATACTTTTTGGACTAAATGTTCTGCAATGGGGAGCAGGGCTTTGACCTTTGTAAGGGCAAAGGAGTGCTGAGGCCTGAGTAGTAACCTAGCAAATAAGGTTCTGCACTGGGAAGCAGGAGGTGTGGGATTGAGTCCCATTGTTGACCACTGCTGATACTTTTGACATTTTAATATTAGGCAGAACATATGTCGGCTTTCCAGCTGACAATGATCTTGGACAAAAAAGAGTAGAGATGGGCAGTGGATCAAGAACCCAGGGTAGCATTCTAATTTAAAGTCACAGCAGTGGATAAGAGGCTTAGATAGTAGTAGTCTCAGGGGCCTTGGCTCTGTTCTAGAGATCCTGTCCAGTAGTCTTACAGCTAGAACACAGATGTTGGCTGCAAGAGTCAAAGATTATTTGTGCCCTGAAATCATATTTGTACCACCTTACTGCTTCATTTCCTTCTTTATTTATGGGGCTGCTTACTCAAAGTTGGTTTCATTCACTCAGAGACTTTTCCTAGCATTTTCTTCTATTCCCTAGTGGCTACTACCTGAATTATCTTATTGGTAACATGCAGGTTGAGAAGCCTGCTTGACCATCTGACTTGGAGAGAGTGACAGGGTATTGGGTCAGGAACTGCTGTTGCTGTTTTAGGCCGCCTCTGCTGTCTGTGTTGTACCATCTAGGCCAGGGGTCCTCAAACATTTTGAATAGGGGGCTAGTTGAAAGGCTGTGGTGACCGTTGCGGGCCAGTGAGGTGGGGGTTCCTGAGAGCCCTTGTGGTGGTGGCTCGCTCGCTCGGAGATCTCCCAGCGAGTCAAAAAACCATCTTTGAGTGAGCAAGCCACCACCTCCCCACCTGCAAGGCAGCGGCGAGCGCACGTGTTACGGGAGGCAGGCGGTGGCGGTGGCGGCTTGTTCATCCGGAGACCATCTCCGAGCGTGTGCGTATGGGAGGCAGGCAGCGGAGACTTGCTCGCTTGGAGACCATCTCCAAGCGAGCAAGCCACCACCTCCCCGCCTGCACAGCAAGCGCATGGGAGGGCAGTGAACGGTGGCGCAGGCCAGATGGATGGCCATGGTGGGCCGGATCTATCCTGCGGGCCATAGTTTGAGGACCCATGATCTGGGCAACCATCCTTACGAAGAATTGTATGTTAGTTCAAAGGTGAAAAAGGTAGTAGTTGTTCCCAGTAGTTTGCATTGGAATGAATGGTACCTGCAAGAGTGCTTTGTGAGGCAAATTGCATTGGTCAATGGATTAAACTGTCTGGATTGATGTGCCTTTTCTCCAGTCTCTGTGAGTCTCTTACCCATACATCTTCCTCTTGCCTTTGTTGGCACCCTTCCCATGAAGTTCACCTAACAGGTAATGTTAGGGAACCTGTGCAAGGAAGCATGCTGTACTGGAATTCATCTCTAGTCATACCTGTGCTCCTGCAAGGAAGGATAGAGCAGAATGGCTCGATCAACAGTGCTTGTGAGTATGCAAGGTGAAGCAGCTAACCCATTTAATAGACACTGTTGGAGGTTAGTGAAATATGCTAAGGGTTGCTGCTGCTGCTTTAGGCCACCTTGTTTGAGTGTTTTACCCTTGCACCCTGTCTTGCACCCTCAGAAGTTGGCATTTTTCTTGTTCTCAGGGTTCATTCTCCTAATCCAAATTCTAATGCATGTTTTACAGGCCTATGACGAGGTTGAACTAAATCATATTAGTGCTTTGTCAGTGCCTGGATGAGAAGAGCCCTTAAAAACCCTAATTATGCTATCTTGAGTTCCATCTGCTTGCTGCAGTGAGTGTGTCACAGCCTATAGGTGAGCATGATGACCGATCAGGCTTTTTCCCTACTTTGAAGTGGCAAAATAGGTGGTGATTGTCTGAACTCAGCTGCTGACTTTTTCTGCTTAGGGATAAGAAGGACAGCAGTGGGGAGGCACTCCCTTTTCCTGCCCAGCATTTCTGTTGGCGAAGACAGCACAGAAAAGGTGTCTTGCCCCCACTGGAAGCCTCCTCAGAGGAAGAACAGGAACCATCTAGCACTAGTAGTGCCCAGGTTCTTCAGCAGTCCAGGAGGAGCAGGGTTAATTACCATGAGGTCTTCACCTGTATAGGACAAGAGTTAGAGGCATAAAATTTCTGAAGCCTTGTGGAGGGAGACCACCTGAAAAGACAGGAACTCAGAAGGACTGCTAGACTGATCCAGAAACCTGCTTGTGAGAAAGGAGAAGCTTTTCAGCTGCAGTTGTTAACAGCTCACAGCTGAGGCTTGGGACAGTCTTTGCACAAAACAGCTTCATAAGACCTTCTTGAATCCAGCTTCCTTTGCCTTGTCTCTGGTTTGCTTTTTAGACAGATTCTTGATATGAGTGCTTTTGGACTGAAATGTTCCCTGCTCTTTCTCTGTTGTATTGACTTTAAACATGCCCATGACCGAAACTGTTGAAACTGCCATTTGGCTGATTCCTGTTTGTGCTGACCATCTTGGAACTTTAGGAACCTTGAATCTATAACTGCTAGGCTCAAATTCAGGAAACGTGACAGAGAAGTTGAGCTGTTTTGCCCTAATGCACATGGAGTACCATAGGCTGCACAGCCCAACAGGCTGATTTCCTTCTTCTGTCTGGTCTTTTCATCAGAAAACAACCCACTGACAAGCATGGGACCATTTGGTTTTGCTGCCTAAAAGTGTACAGAAAGTGGTGTTTCTCCTTCAGGCAGGGGACTTGACAACTGGAGGCACTGCCAAGTACATTTTTTGGCACAATCATCTTTGGCATGATCATGCAAAAATTGTTGATCCTTGGCTATAAATGGCATAAATAATAAATATTGTACTATCCTTCTTGGAAATCAGTGCTTACAGGTGCTACATTTTCTTGTGGCATCACATTATTATTGAGTGTTTGTTACAGTGCACTTTCATCAAAGTAGCACTTTACTAGTTTCTTCTTTGTGCTCTTATAGGAGGGGAGTGCACCATCTGCCTTATTCTGTCTTCGTTGTTGTACATGTAAGCATTAATATTCATATCCAGCTACAGTATTTCTTTGTCGTGGCCTCTGTGCATCACACATATGGGTGCTGTGCCTGCACAGTACCTAGGCCGGAAGATTAGAAAGCTAACGGTTTTTGGTGGGAAAATGCTCCGCTCCCCTCCCCCCTGCAGTATAAATAGAGTGGAGCGTCTGCCATTTTACTCAGTCTCTGCAACCGCCGTTTGCTGTGTCTCGTGCCTGCTCGTCTCTCGCTTAGATCTCGCCACGGTTATCTTGTTCAACTTACCTTTTTCTCGTTATATATCCCAGTTTCTCTTTCCCTTGTTGTAGCTCCTCTGTTCCTTCTTTTTCTAAAAAAAAACAAAACAAAACAAATATTACTTACCCTCTGTACTATCATCTCTTTTTTCCTTTTCGCGATGGCACAGTGGGTGGCATTCCACAAGTGTAGTGAATGCGGCTCCAAAATGTCTCCCGCGGACCCGCACGACTTATTGCCTCCTCTGTCTCGGTGAGGGGCATAGAACCGATAAGTGCGGGCATTGCCTGGCCTTTATCAAACAGGCCAGGAAGAATAGGAAGAATCGTCTCCGCAAGTTACTTTGGGACCAGGCCTTGCTTCAATCTGACCAGCTAGTCTCAAGGCCTACCCCCTCCTCAGCTGCGCCACCTCAGCACTCCACCTCTACCCCGGCTGCGCCCCCTAAGCGCCCCGCCTCAACTTCAGTCGCGCCGCCGCAGCAGCACCCTTCGGATGAAGGCGCTGCTCCAATGGAAGCTCAACAGCTACCTTCTCCAACCAAACAAAAGGAGAAGCATAAGTATTCAGAGCCGGAAAGGCCCTCCGACCGTAAGAAGCCGAGGAAAGAAAAGGCAGCTAAGGCAGCCCACAAGGTACGAATCAGTGTACCAGGTCCGAGAAGACGACATCCTGTTCCTGCTGTGCCACCCGAAGCCTAATTTGGTGGTGGTCGAGTCGTCCCAGGGCAGGGAGGCTCGGGGACATACAACACCCCGAGATAAGGAAGGGAGGAAGGTCGACACGATTGCGTGCTGGGTCTACGCGGCTGCAGGACTCGGTTTGCGTATTTCAAATTATGAGGTTACACTGGCACGTTACCAGTACTTCATTATGCAGAAGCTGGAAAACGTCATCTCCTCCCTCCCGGACCAGCAGGCAGACCTAGCCAAAATCTTCTTAAACGAAGCGAAGCAGGTGGCCATTCAACAGTTGTCTACTGCGAGACATCACGTAGACACTGATTCTCGGGCCATGGTCAGTGCTATCTCCCTCCGACGACACGCATGGCTCAGGAACTGCAATTTCCCTGAGGAAATGAAGAGGAGGATAGAAGAAATGTCATTTGATGGCTCCGTCCTATTCCACGCGAAGACCGATCGGAAACTCAAAGCCATCCACAAGTCCCGTATGATGGTGTGTCGAATGGAACTCCCACAAGCGAAACGTAAGTGGCCATGATCCAGACCCTACGGGCGCCAGCAATATCAGCCTCGTCAGCAGTTCCACCAACGCCAGCAACGTAGAAGGCAAACAGTCTCAGCAGCGCTTCTCCCAGGGCTGTAGGCAGTTCAACACCGAGAAATGCCCCTGTTGATGGTCCTGGCAAACCAATTCATCTCTCCAACTCCCACCTTCCCCTCTCCCCTTTGGGAGTCGGCTCCAAAGCCGACTTCCCATTTGGGAGGCCATTACATCTGATAGGTGGGTGCTGTCCGTCAGTCATTTCAGATATAGAATAGAATTCGACATCGTTCCACCGTTGAGCCCTGTCTGATTTATACCGCCATCTTCGGTTTTGTGCGATGAAGTCCTTCACCTTCTTCATAAGGGAGCAATTCGACAACTCTCTCGCACTGATGGGCTACACGGATTCTATTCTAGATATTTTACAGTTCCCAAACGGGACGGTTGTCTTCGACCTATCCTGGATCTAAGAGGAGTCAATAGATATATCAAACCAAGGAAGTTCCAAATGACCACTTTACAGAATATTCTTCTGTTGCTGAGGGAAGGGGATTGGTTCGCCTCATTGGACTTGAAGGATGCATATTTTCATATTTCTATCCATCCTTCCCATAGACGCTTCCTTGGTTTTACTGTCGGATCTGATATTTTCAAATTCATTGTTCTACTATTCGGACTGGCTACGGCACCGAGAGTCTTTACAAAGTGCATGACCCCGGTTTGCGCCCACCTACAGCTCTGGGGTATACAGGTCTACCCATATTTAGATGATTGGCTAATTGTGTCACGGACTAAAGACAACCTTTTAGCGGCTGTCCAGGTGACTTGTGCTTTACTTGATGACCTTGGACTCTGTGTTAGCCTTAAGAAATCGTCACTTATTCCCACGCAGGTCATCGATTTCATCGGAGCACGTATTGACTCCACCCTGCAAAGCGTTCCTTCCTCCATCGCGCAGGGCCACCCTGTGTACGCACATCCATCGGATTCAACGACAAAGGGCAGTTCAAGCCATCACTATACAAAGATTGTTGGGACACATGGCAGCCTCAGTGGCCATTGTGCCGCACGCAAGGCTCAGGCTCCGTCTGCTCCAATTATTTTTCAACATCTCGTTCCATCCGCAGCGGGATCTACAAACCAAGCTTCTGCGGATTCCATCTTCGATCCTTCACACCCTGACGTGGTGGACTATTTCACGCAACCTATCTGTAGGCATTCTGTTCTGCCCACTCCAACCGACAGTAACAGTGTACACCGATGCGTCTCTCATCGGATGGTGTGTGACATGTGCAGGACTTTGGGTCCAAGGGACCCGATGGGAAGCGGCAAGGCATATCAACTTCCTTGAGCTTCTAGCGATTTTCAACACTCTCAAATCTTTCGAAACAGTCTTACACTGCCAAGTTGTACAGATTGCATCCGACAGCATAGCTGCTGTTTTCTATGTCAACAAACAGGGCGGGACAAAGTCACCTCTCCTGGCCCGTTTGTCAATGCAAATTGGGACTGGTGCATTCCTCGGGACATCATGATGCTGACGGTTCATCTTGCAGGAACCGACAACGTAGAAGCCGACGCACTGAGCCAACGGATGTCAACTACCCACAAATGGGAGTTGGATCGAGTGGTTTGTAACCAGCTGTTCCAGTTATGGGGACAACTGGATATAGACTTGTTTGCGACCCGGTCGAACAGGGTGTGTGAACTGTTCTGCTCCAGAGCGGGGCTGGGACTGGACTCGAGGGGAGATGCCCTAATGATCGACTGGAACAACCTGTTCTTCTACACGTTCCCTCCAATCCCACTCCTCATGAAGATAGTGTCGAAGATCGTGCACAACAACGCCACAGGAATTCTGATAACCCCATGGTGGCCAAGGCAACCCTGGTTCACCACTCTCCTCACTCAGTCCAGACAACTTCCACTTGTTCCTCATCTGTTAACACAACACAACGGGATAGTCCGACACCCGGACCTACTCTCGCTGAAACTAACAGCGTGGTGCTTCCGATAGATCTGAATTTTCTGTCGGCTCCGTTGCCATCCCGATCGATGCAAACAACTCCTCCCTCGGAACTGTCAAGGTCCGTTTTGGGACCGACAGTGTTATCCTCGGATATCCAGGCAATTCTCGAATCTG